CACTGAAACCAAAGGGCTGATCTGTTAGAAACGAAAGAGAAGCCCCCATTGCTTCAGATGTTCGGTATTTCCATCTGTTCAGTCACTGGTGGTTTCTAGCCCTGCCTTCCTGCTGCCGAAAGCTTGGCCAGCGAACAAGCCGGATCTGATGGCTTGTGCTCTGCAGCAACATACAATCCCCAGCTTTCTCAACACAATCTCTGCAGACAGCTGATAAAGAAGGGGCTGTTTCCTGAAGCAGCACCCACCACAACAAGAGCACAGCTGGAACGCAGTATCAACAGACCCTCCCCAGTGCACTGGCAGCTGCTGCCCATCCCAAGGGCTTCCTGCCCGCTGCTAGAATCAGGATGTGTGGGTTTCTCCCTCCATCTTTCACCATAGCCCAGAGACAAGCACCCTGCAGCAGGACAGCCGGGAGCTCACTCAGGTCTGATGTGGTTTAACTTGCAGGTGGTTTTCTGACAGGGAACCTTTTCCTCAGTGCCCCTCTCTCCCTTCCTAAATGAACTGCTCTGATCCCAAAGCCTGAGATCACCGCACTCACAGCTGCTGGGCACCGACAGCTCAGGGCTGCTGCTCTGCTTTCTTCAAGCCAGTACCTGGAGCCGGGCTCTTCCTGGTGACCAGATCCCATGGCTGCCCAGGCTGCTCCTTTTCCTCTCCCAGGGCCTGGGGCTTGCAGCATTCCCACCACAAGGCACACCTTGTAAACAGGCAGAGCCTGGTATTTCATTCACCAGCTGGTAACTTCCTTTACACAACTGCTTGGCTCCTCCTGTATTAAGCAGAACAGCAGAACCATTGCAATACCATGGAAGCGCTGCCCTGCACGGGTCAGTAACAAAGTCAAGGTCTTTTCAATTCAGAGTTAACCTCCTTGACAAGGGTCAGGAAGTGCTGAAGGGAAGGAGTGGGGTCAGGACATTCAGCTCCCAGCTTTGCCATCTATATTCCCTTTCACCCTGAAGACTTCAATTTCTCACCCTTGGAAACAGAAATGATATTTCCCAGGAAGGCTGAAATAAAATACTGGTATGTACCAAGCCTCCAAAACACTGGGATGGATTTAACCCTTGCAGGACTCGCTCAGTGCAGTGCAGCAGCACAGGATACCAGACAGCACCGTAACACAAACCGTAATAAACAAATAGCCCCAGAGAGATCAATATTAACCAGCACCTTCCAGCTTTCCTCAGACATGAATGGATTCTTCACGGATGGAGTTCACATAGAACCACTTCAGCTCTGCAGTGCGGCTCATAGAATCACAGCATGGTTTGAGTTGGAAGGGATGTTAAAGCTCATCCAGTTCCACGGGCAGGGACCCCTTCCACTGGAGCAGCTTGCTCCCCTCATCCAGTTCCACGGGCAGGGACCCCTTCCACTGGAGCAGCTTGCTCCCAGCCCCTGTGTCCAACCTGGCCTTGAGCACTGCCAGGGATGGGGCAGCCACAGCTCCTCTGGGCACCCTGTGCCAGCGCCTCAGCACCCTCACATGGGTCACTTGCTTGTCCCAGCAGTGTGCATTCAACACAACTACTGATCATTTACGTTGCTGCAACACTACAAGCAAAGCCCATCTCCCTGTGCCGAGGCTGCAGTCCTGCAGCAGGAGGCATTCCTCCATGGGCTGGACAGGGCAGGCATGAGGAAGGCTCTGAATCAGGCCCCATCACGCTCAGCAGCCAGCCCCGTGCCCGCACAAGCCCTGCACAGCCCCCAGGGATGGGGCTCAGGGGGGCAGTGCTCCCCTTCCACCATCCCTGTGTGGGAGGAACTGGAGCAGATCCCCAGGGCAGGGGGAACCCTCTGGCTCAGCACATGTGCACAGCTGCTTCCCAGGAGCAAACCCAGCGCAGCTTCTGCAGCAAACCGCATCCATCTACTGACAGCTCCGAGTTTCAGCCATGCAGCTTTAGAAGCAGCTTCCAGCACAAAACATCTGCTCTCAGGTGGAGTCCGGGCTCAACATGAAATAGTTCCTATGCTGAGTTATGGTATACGAATAACATAGGTGTTTCTCCCATTTCAAATCCATTTTCCTAATCCTTCTCCTGCAGCTGGGGGAAAGATGCATTAGCCCCACGCTCCCAGAGGAAAGCCTCTCTGGCTGCTCCAGAGGTGTAAATGCAAAAGGTAACAGCAAAGCATGAGGAGAGACAAAACAATCCAATATTCTTCATTCAAAATTCCTTCAGATTTAGCAGCTGCACAGAGCTACTGACTCACAGCAGAAGACGAAGCGTCTTTAGATCCATCAGTTTTAACCTCAGAGTGAGAAAGGAAAGGCCTGTGGTTCAGTGGCCGTCATCCCTGGGCAAAATCCTCTTGCTGAAAGAAACTGGGAATGAAAGGTTTGTAAGCTATTTATTTCTAGCCTGAAGGCAGTGATCACATACTAGCACTGACTTCAAGTAATTCATTGAGGGTTTGTGTTGCTGCTCCACTGTCTGGGGCCTTACAGAGGGGTCTTTCTATTGCTTCCACTCAAAGAAGAGCGAGCAAACAGATCACTGAGATGCTGCAGCACATGCTTGCTCCCCCTTTCCTAGGCTTTAATGGGACAGGAATCAGTCAGGAACTTGCAGATCAGGCCATTACACAGGTCTGGGCTTTGGATACTCACTTGGAAGACTCTCAGACCAATGCCTCAGATTCAGTCCTAAGAAGACACTGTATTTGCTCCACTCCTGGTGGAACAGAGGCTACAGCTACTGCCCTTACCAGCACTGTCATCCTATCCTGGGAGAAGTTAGTTAAGGCAGTTAAATACAGGCTTGTGCTGCAAATTGCTCATTGAATATTGCCCTTGAAACTGCACTGTAATGATAAATTTCCACTTCCTTCCCCAGGCAGTTGCATAACATTGCAGGGCATTGTTCAGAGCTGCTGTGCTCCAAGCCAGAGGCAGCTGGTGCTGGTGTCCCTTTCCCCTTGTCCTCCCCAAGCACTGGCAGGACTGTGACCTTTCTTGTTGTGGGGTTTGCCTAGTACATTAGACAACAGAGACCTGACTCTGAACACAAGCAGCCTTCCAACAAGATTATCCCTACCTTCTTCAGCTTTCAGTGGGGAAAAACAATATCCCATTTATCCCAGTTAAATGTAAGCCAGTTGAAAAGCAGATCTGTCAAATAACATTTAATTAAGAGTGTCTCTAGGGAGGAGCAGCTGGGTCAGTGGAAAGCTTTCCTGCTTTCCCACTGGCAGTATAAATAGCCTGGAATTGAAGAGCCCCACTCTGCGGTCGGGAGATGCAGCCTGTGTGCCCAAGCACAGGAGGGACTTTTGCTTTGTGGCTTTGGTTGGCAGGAGTTGTTTTCTCTTTATAACAGGGAAGTGGCTTTGCTTTCTGGAAGCTGGGCTGGAAGCAGCACACAGAGCAGGACTGGAAGGGAGGGAGCTACGTCCACTGGAAGATATAACTGTTTTTAAAGCAGAACAGCAGCAGGAGTGAAATCAGATGCATCCCTCCAAGAAACTTCTTGCAGCCCAAGATCGGGCAGAGTTCAAACCTGTTTTTCAAGCAAGGCTGAACGCAAGTTTGGACATCCCCTAAAGCACAAAAATACGAGACCTGTTAGCCATGAACACTTTCCCAGGAGGAACGCATGTGATGACTAACACAACAGCAGGCAAAAGGCACCTCAGTGGTTAGTCATGGAGCACCGGGCTTGTGGCTCACTCATGCTTCACAGGCAGAACCCAGCTGGGAAGAGTCAAAGGCTGCCTTGATTCCAGAGCTGGCTCTCCATTCCTGGCATGACCAAATCAAGTGTTCACATTCCTCTCCCAGGGAATTGGCTTCAAGATGTGCCCTCAGGCCACACGAGTCTCATAAGCTCGTTTGATTTTAGTTGACACAGTAGCAAACACCATATAACCTACAAATACATGGCCAACACACAAAGCTCTTTCTAGCTTGCCTGGCACAGATGCCTTCTACAGTGTGAAGTATTTTGGGATAAAGGGACAGCTCTCACCCCTGGAGTACGAGGCACAAGCAGCAGGGCTGGCATAACCTGAATCACTGAAGAGCAAGAGAGCAGGAAAGCGCCATGTACCACCTCAGCTTGGTTTACACATGCACCTACACCTCAAATTAACACCCTGCAGACACCAATCGTTTGGATTGCAGCAGCACCTAGAGGTCAGAAGTAAGATGAAGATCAGGCTGTGGTAGGCACTGCACAGACAGGTACAAGGCACATCTACCTGTCTAACGTCAAAGACCAAAGAGAGAAGGGGAAAAAGCTTCTCTCCATGCATCCCACAAGGCAAAACACAGAAGAGTCATAAAGGATGCCTAAGGTCATAGAATGGTTTGGGTTGGAAAGGACCGTAGAGATCATCCAGTTCCAACCCCTCTGCCATGGGAAGGGGCAACTCACATTAAACAGTCTCACCCAAGGCTTTGTCCAACCTGGTGTTTCCTGGGGAAACCTGCACAGCGCCAGGGGCTGGTTCCCAGTCCAAGGCCTGACCAGCAAGGGTCCCTCTCCCTGCTGTGCAGAGATGACATTCTGCCTGGCTCTGTGCTGGGATGACCGCATCAGTCACAGATGCTGAAGCTATGAACAAGTTGCTCTAAATGCCCCAAACCAGATGTCAGCACACCCAGCCCTGCCTGCTCAGCTCTCCTGTAATTTTTGCTCAGGCCACCTATGATGCAGCACGGCTATTTTAGAGATGTTTGGCCTGTTTTCACATCTCTCTGCCTAATGGAGACTGACTGCACAGGCCTCCAAAGGAGAAGATGGAATCTCTCAGAAAGCTCTCGATCAGCATTCCCAAATGTAATGATCGAGGGATCTTGAGTTTGGGCTATGAAGTGAAGAGAGATTTAAAAAGGGCCATTCCCAGATTCCTGGTGGTACAGAACACTGTGTTTTCACTGTGATGCCAACTACCCTCCACTGCATATCTGCCCATCCAGGACCAAGAACCTTCAGTCACAGCACCAATGACAATGTCATTTTCAGCATGAAAATCCTTACCTGGAGACAAGAAGAGCAAAGCTGTGACTATTTGGAACATCAGAACACCGAGACAGGGAAAATCTGCCAGGAAGTCAAAGACACAAGCAGTAGGTAAACTAGCCTGCGAGACCAAAATCACATACACAGTGTCTTCTCTACATAGGTCCTGCTTGCACGACCAATATCACTGCACCAACTCCAGGTATTTCTATAAAGTAAAGACCAACAAGTAGTTACTTCCCATCCACCCATCAGGAGCCACCCCAAGCATCAGCATCCCAGCACATCCTGCAAGCTCCCTGTGAGCTCCCCACAGCTCTGGCTGCCAGGCACAGGGCTGCTCCCTCGGAGCATGCACAGCACATCCAGACCAACCCTGCAGCAGCCTCTGCCACCCTCCTGCGAGCCAGCAGCTCCCCAGCCTCGGGATCAGAGGATTTGTAGCCAGGCACAAAGCTCTTTGGCACCATGCTGCTGCTTAAATCCAGCGTGGGTTAGCACAGAGCCAGTGGTTAGCACCAGAAGGCTCCTTCACTTGAATATTCAGTGAAATCCCTTATGAACACCAAAAACCAGCACTGCTGGGGTGCTGATTTTCTCCTGAGGCTGATACAATTAAACACCACCTCTTCAAAAGGATAAGTGCATCTTGAAAGCAAGTAATATATAACTTTCCTTTTCCTTCTGAATGAAAAAGAGGCAACATTGCTTTTAGCATTATAGCAAGTCCAGACTTAAAGTTCTGAAAGTTCACTTTGCAAGCACTAGCAGCAGGAAAACGATGAGAATACGACACAGTCTTGTGATCCTTTGGGTATGCACAAAATGAACAGGAACCAACCCAGAGGTGGTCCACTCCAGTGATGGCCTTGCTTTCCAATTTACTTGGCAAACCCTGGTTCTTCTGCCTTAACCACTGTGCTGAGCTATGCCCTCCTTGCTGCCTTCCACGTCAGGAGGCCAACAACTCTTCCAGCTCAGCTTTCCCTCCTCTGGAGATCCTGGTGCTCAGAGCACTAATTGCCCGCAGCACATTCAGGTCAGGTACTGCTGTAGTGCCATTAATGAGCAGGATGGAGACTGTTGAGGATACAATCAAGAGAAGTTGTTAAACATCACAAACCCCAGCAGCTCTGCTGAAAACACAGAGCACTACAGAGACCAGAGCAGGGGAGGGACAATACGTGCTTTAATCTGAGCTTTCGTGCCAGATTTACTGATTTATACATTTCTGGTCTAATTGCAGCAATAGATAATGTTCTTTCTGTTGGGGGATCAATAACATCTGTGATGACAGTGCAGTGCAGCAATGGGTTCCCCACAAGACACCCGTGCCTCACTCTCACACTTGGAACTCTCCAAAGCGGCTTCTTAGAAGCAGAGCCAAATCCAGGGGAGCTCTCTGGATACTTGCCCATCCCTATCATGAGCTTGACACACTCTCAGGAACGAAGGTCCAGGGGAGTCATCTCATGGGCTTGGTGCTTCCTACACATTAAAGGTCAGCTAGCCAGCACAAGAAAACAAGGAAGAGTATCTGCAACAGCGAGGAAGAGGCACTGCTGCAAGCAGGTATTTATTTCACAGCTCCCACGGCCCAGCCCCAACAGAAGTCCTCAGAGGTTACACACAGCTGAATTAGACACACTTCCATTAGTACCAGATCAAACCCCCCACGGAAGGCAAAGCATTAACTCAAGCTCATGCAAAACTTGCTCAAGTTCATGGAGCACAACCACAGCTTGATGTTTCCAGCAAGCCCCACCATGTTCAACACCAGGAACTGGGCACTGCAGCCACACCAGCCTGCTGGGAGCCACAACTGCTCCCTGGTTCCCAGGCCCAGTTCTCCCAGTAAGTCTCCCTCAAGACAACAGCAACAAAATAAACAGCACCAGAAAGGTGAGAGAGGCCACACAGAGCTGCATGGGACCTCTTGTAAAATGTGGTGTTTTATTGTTGTAGCAGAGATGCTCCCAACTTTGGTCTCCAAGTCTGACCTAGGCAGCAACAGGATACTGCTGCGAGCACAACAGGACACACACCTTTGCTTGGGATGGGTGGAATGTAGGGAAATACTGAGGGATGTAGGAAAACGAACACTTTCAGGTTTGTGGCACATTCCTTCCATCCCATCTCTTTTCTTAGAGGAAAGATCTCCCCCAGATCAGGGGTCTGGCACCCACTGCCTGCACTGGCACCTTCTGCCCAAGTTACTGCTCCAAGGCCAAGAAACACCCCACGTTGAGAAAGGCTTGGATTTCAGTCAGCATGGCTTTACCACCCAGACAGTACACCTGGTTCCACCTGCCACCCCAGATACACCTATGGGATGGAGTTTAGAGTCACGTACTTCAAGCTACAAGTTTCCACACTGCAATAGAAGTGAAGTTAAGGAAGAAACTCGAAGCTACAACTCCAATTAAAACAGCACAATAAGGGCAGAGTACCACTGGCATTTACTTTCAAGGCCTGAGAGTAAGTCCAAAGAGCACACAGGGAATCTTATCACCACAGGCCCCGTCAGAGCCCCCCAGAATAAGGCACAGAAGAGATGCTTCCCATTTCTCTTCCCATTAAAGAGGGGTTATAACTGTGCCAGTCACAACAGCAGTACACACCCCACAGATTTCCTTCACCAAAACAACCAAAGACTATTCCTTAACGTAGTCTCAAGAAAAACAGGAAAGAAAGAAGGGAAAAGATGCAGGTGGTTAAAAGCCGGGTACTCGTCCCCCAGGGCAGGCACAGCAGCAGCTTGAACTCCGAGTTCTCTTTTCATCCTATACAACAAACCCAACCCCTCCTGCTGTCCCACTACTCATTAAACTACACAACCCACTAGTTGCTGTGCTAATCATTGCAAAGAAAACTGATGAGCAGCTACGATATTGCATAGACTTCTAGCACTCTTTTTTGTTTTGCCCTCTAGCCCCGGTGCTGCACTACCTCCACTTCTGGATGCTAGAGGAGAAATAAAGCACAATGAGGATGAACAATGATATGAACAAAAATGCTCCAAGCAGTGCCATAAGGCCTCAAATTGACTCCACTTTAGACTTTATCTAAATGAAAAAAGCAGGCAAGACACAGCGGTTTCGTGAACGCCAGACAGCCCGAAGCTATTTTTTCGCAGCCTTATGTGAATTTTTGTAGCGCCCAATTTTAAAGCTAAGACTTAAAGTCCCTGCAGTGCGATCAGGAACCTCCCATGCAAATGCCCAGCACAGAGCGGGCTCCAGCATCAGCCTCTTTAACAGCAAGAGCTGCTCGCCCCGGGCTAGCGCCAAAGAAAGCCACAGCTCCCCCCCCCTCATCACCCACCACCCTACACCCGAAGGAAGCGCTGCCCCACGGCGGGACCACGCCATCGTCCCCTCCGCCCTCCCTCGCCCCGCTCCCGCGGGTCCCCAGCCCTGCAACAGCTTCTCCCTCCGCAAGGGAGAAAACCCCGGGGCCCCCGCCCTGCTCCCTCCGGCGAGGAGCCCCGGGGCTCCGCGGGGCCGGGCCGGGCTCCCCCCGCAGCCGCACTCACCTCGAGTAGAGCCGGCGGGCGGCGGAGCCCGGGCTGTCCCCGCCGGGAGGGCTCGCCATGGGCACCAGCCCCGCCGAGCCGCCCGCCGCAGCGGAGGCAGGCGCGGCTGCAGCCCGGCACCGGGCAGCGGAGTATGGCAGCGGCGGGAAGTGATGCACCGAGCAAAGAAACTCGCGGGCAGGCCCCTCCTCCGGCTGATGTCAGCCCCGCGGCCGGCAGCGGCCCTTCCTCCTCCTCCTCCTCCACCCGGGGGAACGGGGCAAGCGGGGCCGAGCATCCCGCTGCGCCGCCGCCGCGCAGGGAGCACCGGCAGTGGAGTGGCTGCAGGGCACGGTTGTCCCCGCGTTCAACACCCCACCGCAGAGCCCCAGTCCTCAGAGCGGCCGCAGCAGGGACGAGCGGAGCCACAGCAAGGGGCAGACACCACACCTGCACGTTATTGCAGGAGAAGAGTGGCACAGCACTGTTAACCCACCCCAGGTGCAGCCACTTAACTCCATGCTAAGAAGCCTCGATTTGGCTCAGTCTGAGCCCTTTTGTCATCAGGAGTAAGTGCCCACACCTGAGACAACCAGAATGAGTAGCAGAACTCAGCACAGCTGTGTCAGCATTACCTGAGTCAGAAGGGATGTGCCACAAGCAGGCTGAGACCCAAAGCAGGTCTGGCTGCTGTATTTGGTAGCAAAGAACCCATTGGAAAAGGGATGCTTCCCTCCAGCAGCTTGCTCCTGTGTGAACTGTGTCCTGCTGAACCTCAGGGCCCTTGCTGTTTATTGTCAACCAGATACCTAGAGATGGATGTAGGTCATCTTTACCCAGCTCCCTCTGGTTTCCAAGGCCTGAGATGCTTCTGGAAAAGTCATGAGCTGGTCACTCAGCAGAAGTCTGTCATAAACTAGTGTCACTTCTACAACACCACCAAATTAGTTAAGCATCATCATTGTCACAGGCACCCAAAGCAGCACAGGAATGAATTGTGGCTTTCAGGGGGTTCTAGCAGCTCACTGCAGACACAGGAGCCCTGTGGCTGGAGGGAAGCCAGAGCCATGTCCTACTTACTGGGCTGTTTCACCCTGCACAAAAGCCCCTCTCAAGTGCAAGCAGAGATCCTGCTCAGGAAAAACATCACCAGTAACACCCCACTAACAGACCACAGAAGCCTCTTTCCCAAGAGCTAAGTGATTGAGCATTTCAATTCAAAACTAACACCCATAAACAAACCTGTATTTGTGTCTTGGCTTAGGAACTATCTCAGTCCTGTAGATAAACCACAGCAGAGAAAGTTGAAATCATCCTGCCAAGAGCCGCCTCCTTGTCCAGGGAGGTGCCATGGTGTCCAGGGTATGTGCTGTACCACCCCACAAGGAACCCCTCTCCACCCCCAAGCAACCAGCTGGAGAAGCCCCACTGGAGGGACTGGGGGGACCCTGGGGGTTAGGCCTGGCCACTGCACCTCACACCAGCCACTCTTCACTCAGGATTGTGGTTTCACTCACAGCAGCAAACGGCCTGGTACAAGCAGCTCATAACAAACCCATGGAAACAAGGAATGGTTCAGCCCTAAGAGAGCTTTACTATTTCCAGGGGGTGTTTGTCGGTGCCTCCCCCCTCCTCAGCCCCTCTTCCAGACAAGAATACCAGTGTGAAAGATGAAAACCAGCTGCTGCTGCTACAGCCCTTCCTCAACAGCAGGCAACAAAGGATGCTTCGCTGCAGCAGGCCCCAGCGCTGGGCCAGGATTTAATGGATGTGGGCAGAGAGAGTAATTGCCCTTTGGAGAAACAATGCAGGAAAGGGGAGTAAGAGAAAGGAGGGTGGAGGCCAGATTCCAGTTTGGGCTCTGGCCAGATGTATGGTGTTCCACAGAGCTCTGGGCAAACACGTCACCCACACGTTAATGACACTGGAATCAGTGGGTCGAATTCCACAGCCTGTGTTATGCAGGAGGTCACACCAAGATGAGCGGAATGGTCCCCTTTGGCCTTCAAATCCATTAATTTGCAATGGCTGATTTATCATCTGACAAACTCAGCTTCTTCTTCTTCTTGTAGAAGTGGCAAATAGGTCACAATAGATCTGAATTCACTCGAAGAAATAATTCAGTTGCTCTGCTGTGGCTTGGATCTGGTTAACCCTATGTACTCATGCCAAGAAGCTCCCTGCAAGCACTTGGGCCTAAACCGCAACTCAGACCCCTTGCTCATCTGCAATGAAACAGGCAAATTACAAGAGTACAGAGAGAAGGAAACCCCTGCACTTTAATATGCCACTAATTCATCTGGTGAGATGTGTCCGTGTTGTGTCATGTGTTGGGAAGGATGTAGAGCAGTTAGAAGGACTCCAGATGAATGTAACAAGTGTGACCCATGAAAAAGAGGTAAAAGAAATTGACTTGTTCAGTGCAGATAAGATCAAGAGGAAGTGATCTTATCTTTAATTTTTAAACACAAAAGGGCTGCTGCAAAATGTGGCAAAAAAAGGAGGGATGGATCATGGAAAAGAGGGGAGGATACAAACAGTAAATACATTCTGAGGCAATGCAGGGGGCATTTCAGTAAGTCAGATGTTACAAACCTCTGCACCTCAACAGCCTTCTGCTTCTGCCATCTTAGGGCACATCATATTGTCCCTCCTAGTTACTGAACATCTCTAAACCTGCACTTACAAACTCAGGCAGAATCACAACACCAAGCCATAGGATTGAAGGATCCTTCAAACGTTGTAAGCTGGTTTTAGTATTTCTCTTAAAAATTGATACCCAAAGCTATCACAACACAACATGAAAGAGCTCTAACTGTTGTCACATTTCCCACCACTTGGAAGAGACGCCCTTGAAAGCAGCAAGGCACAGAAAGCTGAAGAGAAGATGCCAAGACAGTGATATAGAACTGTGATACAGTCATCATGCAGTACGTGTTGCCGATCATTTAAGGACTGCCAGGACACAGGAACATTCCTGCACTGCCTCCATGTCCTCCCTGTGCACACACACCGAGGAGCCAGGCGCTCCCTCCAGAGCACAGTCTGCCTGAATCAGCAGGGAAGCTTCCCTGCAGCTCCTGCCATGGGCTGCTGGTGGCCTCTGCTGGGGCTGATGTGCAAAGGGAGCGCTGCGGCTCAGCCTCCCGCAGCTGCCGGCCCCCGGGTCTGCTCCCGCTGGCAGTGGCTGCAGTGAAACACCAGCCCCTGCACTGCCTTTCCCCAAACCGGCAGGGTCTGGAGCACTTTGCCATTGTCCAGCGGGCTGGGAAAAGGGATCTCCTATATTGCTGTCAAGGTAGCCTGCGAGGGAAAGCAGGGCATGCTGTGGACATAGAACTGAGTGGGTTTTCAGATCTGTTTCTGGTATGAAGGAAGGTACAAGTGATCCTTCTCCAGGGCAGGTGCAGCCCATTCCTGCCTCTTCCCCCCAACAGTCATTTAACTCCTAACGCTCTTTCAGCAAGTGTGGCAGAAAGACAAAGGATTTGAGGATAGAGTTTCTGTGGAATATTAGGATGAATAGACTGGTTACAGACCCAGCCAAGAGAAGGGAGCAGTGAGAACACTGATGTTGTAATGTGGCTGAAGGTGTTGATAGGCAGTAAAGCTGGATGCAGCCCCCTTCCCAGAACCTGGGCAGTAACACCCTTTGCTTCCTTTCCCCTGCCCAGGGCAAGGCCCCCATGCTCACCCTTCTCTTCTCCTTGTACAGCATGAAAACACACTTGAAGACCTCAGCAGCTTTCACAGGTACATTCCTTTATGTGTGGGTGCACACAGCAGTTGAGGATTTGGCCTTTCCAGCTTTGTGCTTATTTATACATCCTGTGTCTCTGATGTCCTGAATTTCCTTTTCATCAATGCTCCTCTCAGCCTCGGAAGAGGCAAACAAAGAGGCAGAACTCATCCGCTTCCTTTAGATTTCAAGCTTGACAGAAAACACTTCATTAAATAAATAATAAGGGACTTCAAATTCCCTTGTTCTCCACCTCATAGTTTGTTTGATGAGATGACACCCTAGGGCCTGGCATTGGCCTGCTTGGTGGACAGGGATTTTTTAAGGCAAGGCCAGAGGGGACTGTCCTGACTTCATGTTGATGTCACCTATGCTTTGCATCCGAACAGCCAGCACCTCCTCTTCAGCAAAATCTCACTCTTCACCTCCGAGCACAATGACTGCTTGCACAGTGCCCGAGAAGCCTTTGAACTCAGCACGTTTCAAGCACAGCCGCTGGTGCATGTTGTAACAGCATCCTCCCTCATGCCAACCTCTTCCTCTGCCCTGGCATTGCTCTCTGAATGCTGCCTGCTAAGGGGAGCCTGGCCCAGCTTGCCCTGGCACTGGCCCCAGTGTGGGAGCTCAGAGGCTCAGCAGACACCTTCATCTTCCTCCTGGACTCAGAGCTGGTTGCTCTGTGTCTCAGTTTGGCTTTTCCGTAGCCATGAATTCCTTGAGACCCCAATGGGCCTAAAGGGAGAACAGGAGCTGGCTGCACTCTCCAGGATGGTTGATGTCTGATAACCAGCCAGGGGGACAAGAACAGCCTTGCTGTTATTAATTGCCTCTCACATGTGCCCCAGGCACCTCAGTGATGTCTGCAGCAAGCTGGACATGCTCAAGCAACGCATGGAATTCTGCTTCCTTGTGAGCTCTTGGTAAACTCCCATCCCTTCTCATTGCTTGGGGGCATATGCTCCCACTGTTCCTGCAGCAGAATGAAGCCTGCACAGTGCCTGCTTCAGGAGATCCCTTAAGACTTCAACCAAAGCCCTGTGAGGGTGAAGGGACCCAGAAATATGCTGGCTTTTTATGGGTTTGGAAGACTTGCATAGCAGTAACAGAGAGCTTTTCTTGGAGGCACTTTGCCAAAGCTTTACTGCTCAGGCAAATACTCCAGAGCTCCCGGTCAGGATCAGCTCCTATTTACAATGGGGGCAGTGGGTTTGTTTAACAGCTTCAATTTCCAACAGTCAACAGACAAAACCCCAATTTCTCCTGCTGGAAGTGTGAGAAAACCTCCTGTTAGCATTAACTGGAATAAGAAGCAATCTTTTGTTATACTTGAAAGCCCGGGGGAAAAACACACATTTTCCCCTTTGAAGGGGGCGTTATTTCCTTTTAAGTCACAACTGTTGGCGATGCCATTAATGCCAAGCCAACGTGTTTGGGTTTGTTTTGAAACAGTTTGCCAATATTGACACTGCAATTGCGTTGTTTAGTCAGGCTTCTGTGAGTGTTTTCAAACACCCATAACTGACAGGGTTGATTT